ACTGGGCAGGATCCTCAGCAGACAGTGGCAGCAGCTGTGTGGCCTTTGCTGTGGGCAGAGAGACTTGCAACTGAGGCTGAGTCACCTTCCCAGAAAGGACTTGCCAGCCTAAGGGAGGAAGGACAATGAGAAAAAGACTCGCAAATGCTGTCTTTGTGAGAAACTGGCTCACCATTTCTTACACCTGGGGAATGTGAAGGAGGCATAAAGGAAAGAGCAGGAATTAGATCTGTGCTTCTGCAATCCCTAAACCTGGGAATGATGGTAAGAATAAGACAGGAAAGAGGGAGAAAGTGAAATAAAAGTAATGGAAAACACCTCAGGCCAAACTTTAACTCAGGGAAAAGACGGATTCAGCATACATACAGGACCTTAGCAGTGATTCAGTATGGGAAACCTTGATAATAAGGAATATTCTCCCTCTGCACTTTTTGAAACAAACAGAAAAGAAAGAAATATTTTAAATTAAAAAAGCCCACTCACAGGGTACCCAAGACTGTGCGAAATAGATGTAAATAAGGTCTGAGCTATGGAAGTAGAGAGATTGAGTAGGGAAATTGAGCACTGTAACTACTCACCCACCTCTCTATGAGACAAAGGCTGAACGATCTGAGGCAGGATGAAAGGATGATTAGGACAGCAAGAGAATGACTCCCCCAAGCTGTCTTCTACCTTCAGATGTGTGTGCACACACACACACAAGCACAATTTTAATGTTTGGTTTTAAGTGCGGACTGTGTAGGACAGATTAGGAGGTGTGTCACTGGGAGTGAGTTTTGAGGTTTCAAAAGCCCAGGCCATCCAAATTAGCTGTTCCTTTCCTTTATCATTTGCCTTGGTTGTGGTGTGTTGTCACAGCCCTAGAACGGTACCAAGACATTTGCCACTGGTGCCATATCTAAGATATTTGTTACTATAAAGTGTGCCCATTCCTGTGTGCTTAGCCACTTCAGAACTTCTTTTTTACTAACTCTGTAAAAAAGCTAGAAATAGAGGACAAAATTTTAGACTGAGGTATTTATTTATTTATTATGTATACAATACTGTGTCTGTGTGTATGCCTGCAAGCCAGAAGAGGGCACCAGACCCCATTACAGATGGTTGTGAGCCACCATGTGGTTGTTAGGAATTGAACTCAGGACCTTTGGAAGAGCAGGCAATGCTCTTAACCTCTGAGACATCTCTCCAGCCCCCTAGACTGAGGTTTCTTGTGATGTGACACAAATCTGAAGAAGAGTACCCAGGAGAAGGTAGCATCCCCTAGGAGCTAACTTGATCCTTTTCTAATTTTCCCTGACCCTATTCTAGGTCTGTCTGTGGTCATCCCCTGGAATAGGATCTGAGATCCAGGACTAGGAGTTTCTTCTGGCACCAACTGGTCCTCCATCCTTCTCTGTCTTTATCCTCCCAGCAACGGAAAAGGGTGTAGTTAATTAACTTTTATCATTTCATTTCCATCCCTTGGCTTCATATCCTGGCATTAGAACCCCTTCTCCCTAAAAGTCTAGAAAGGAAGCAGAGACCAAGTGCCCCCATTGCTCTGCTAAACATCCTTGCAGCTGAGCACAGCTTGAACCCTTGACCAGTGTATACCTGTACCTTGTGCAGGACCTGGTGTGGATGAGCTTTTGTCTTCTGTCCTCACATATGAATACTCCAGTTTGTGAATTTTTATTTTTCTAAGATAAAAAATTTGTAAGGTTCTAATTTCACGTATAAAATTAGTTTGTGGATAAATAACAAAAATTTGGATGCCATTATTTTTGTCTATAAGTTGCACATCAGTCTAGGGAATATATAATAATAAGTAGCAATCAGTTAGAGACTTACACTGCGTTAATTGCTTCCTATTTCTCATACCTGAGGCTACACCCCAATGGAGAGAAAACAATATGTCCTTGTCTACATGACAACCCAGGGGTGATGACATTTGGAACTGTTCTTCCTTGTGGGTGCTACTGTGATGATTGACATCAGCGGCCTAAGATCTTTTTCTAGAATTCCCAGGCCTCTTCTCAGACCCCACTGTCTTAGACTGTAAAACAGGGAGCTCAGATTTTACTTTTTCTGTCTCTCTTTTGCAGGGTCTCATACTGTACTTCAGGCTGTCCTAGAACTTACCATGTAGCTGGGACAGCTAATCTTCAGTGTCAGCTGACCTGGAGTTTGAATCTCCCAGGACTTGCCATCCTGGAAATGTCTGTGAAGGATGTTTCCAGAGAAGATTAGCTGAGGAGGGGAGAGATGCACTGAATGTGGGTGACACCAGCCCATGATCTGGGGCCCAGAATGAAGAACAGGGAGGAAAAGGAGAAAGCCAGATAAGAGCCAGCGTCCCCTCACTCTGCTTCCTGATGCATGGAGATGTGAGTCATCCCAGCCACATGCTCCAGCTGCCATAAACCCAGCCATGCCTTTCCTGCCAGGATGGGTTGAACTGTCTTAAATCAAAATCTAAAACAAATCTTTCTTGCCTTAAGCTACTTCATTCTTTTTTTCAGATTTTTGTTTGTTGTTTGTTTGTTTTATATGAATGAGAAAACTGAGTGATAGTACATTTGGGTTGACCTTCTCCTCCCAGAAATCATCCCACCTCCCTCTGAGAACTGGTGTTGAAAGTGTGGGAATATAATCTTCTATAAATGTATTGGGATGAATTGAGACTGTGGGAGTATGTCTGCTGCCTCCTTAACCTTTGTATCTATCTATTCTATAACTCTCGTATATGCATATATTTACTGTGTGTTGTGTCACATTTCAGTTAATATTAGTAATTAAGATTGGAGTAAAAGAGCTGGAGAGATGGCTCAGAGGTTAAGAGCATTGCCTGCTCTTCTAGAGGTCCTGAGTTCGATTCCCAGCAACCACATGGTGGCTCACAACCATCTGTAATGAGGTCTGGTGCCCTCTTCTGGCCTGCAGGCATACACACAGACAAAATATTGTATACATAATAAATAAATAAATATTTCTTAAAAAAAAAGATTGGAGTAAAAGGGCTGGAGAGATGGCTCAGTGGTTAAGAGCACCCTGCTCTTCTAGAGGTCCTGAGTTCAACTCCCAGCAACCACATGGTGACTCACAACCACCTGTAATGAAATCTGGTTCCCGCTTCTGGTCTGCAGGCATGCATGCAGGCAGAATAGTGTACACATAATAAATAAATAAATCTTTAAGAAAAAAAAGAGAATGGAATAAAAGAGCATGTGTGTTGCTTCAATTAGATTACCATGGAAAGCAGTATTACCTACTAAATTCCTAAAATGAATACCATCACACTTAGTGAATTTATTGTTACTTAATTGTGACATTGTAGAATGTTGGATGTTCTGTGTTTTGTGTGCTGTTCAAAGAACAAGAGTCACCCAGAATGTGATTCTAGGCTCTCTGACAGCAAGGGGAACAGCTTCTGAGAACTGAACCTCAAACCACTGCTCAGAAGCATATTTATTGATTGCACACAAAGGTTGTGTTTGGAGGACAGCAAGGTCCTTATACCAAAGTCCCTTTGATCTATATGTTTTCTGAAAAAAAATTATCATGCCCCTCAACTTTAATCTTTATTATGTACTGTTTGCAATACCCAATAATTCAAGACCTGCAAGTGTGCCCAGATAGTCTTGTGACCAAAGTCATGAAAGGGACTGAAAATTTCCTCAGAAAAAGTTTATAAATCATAGAAAACAATCACTATACCATGATTTTTTTCATGTTCTAGATACATTCATCAAACACTAATACATTCTACTGATACCTTAGAAACAGTGAGAAACAACTATTACATTGTAGTGTTTACCCTAGATACAATGACTCTACTAGATTCCCACTACAGTGGAAAGATACAAGCATGGCCATCTATGTTTCTTATGTAAACAGAGTACTCCTGATACACGGTGAATATAAAAAAATAAAGACAGAGATCACAACTTAAAGAGAATTTATTCTGGAGTCAAATGTAAGTGACAACAGCCTGGAACACAGATTTCAGTTCCTATAAATTCCATGTCCTAAAATGGTAACAGTTTTACTGTTTTCATAGTAACAGAACAGCAACAACAAGGCACAAACAACAGATCTTAGAAATACAATGGTGGAAACATCAGGCAGGCAGGTTGTATCCATGCAGGGAAATCTGTTACAGACCTGAGATGCTCTCTGATGACATGAGCTGGTGGAAGCTAGGGGTCTGTTTGTACATTCCAAAGGGGTTTACCTAATAGTCACAAGGATGTCAGGTCACACAGAGAGGAGTAATAATAGATATTTAAGGGACTAGGACATATTTGTTTATTATTTATTTATTTATTTTATTTTGTTTTGCTTCGGTTTGGATTGGTTTAGTTTGGGTTTTTGGTTTTTAGAGACAGGGTTTCCCTGTGTAGTCTTGGCTGTCCTGGAACTCTCCCTGTGAATCAGACTGGGCTCGAACTCACAGAGATTCTCCTGCATCTGCCTGCATCTGCCTCCCGAGTGCTGGGATTATAGGCCTGTGCCACCACAGCCTGACTTGGTGTTCTTTTAAAAAATTTATTATTTTTATGTTATGTGTATTGGTGTTTTAACTGCATGTTTTTTTTCCCTCCACACTTTCTACAGCTGCTTAAAATCCTCCATTACTGACCCTAACTCAAAGGCATTACTTTCCTCTCTATATAACTGCAAGATTAAGGCTTGCAAGAGCTGTTCTCGTCCTACACCCAACCCCTGCTAAAAGTAATGAAATGGTGCCAGGGCGTCTTCTGAGTCTGGTTTTATTATTGTTTTTGTTGTTAGCCTTATTTTTTTCTTTTTAGTCAAGAAGAATTCACAGATTGGAACCCTTTATTCCCCAGTAATGTTTGGACATCCACACGTTCATTTCTGCTGTATGTAGGAATTTCGGAGAACCCACTCAGACTCATCGTGATCCGTCCCCACAAACCCACAACGCTATAAAACTCCACAGAGAGGAACAAAGACATAATCTCCTCAAGTTCTCCAAACACGGAGGATGGGGTGCACAGTGCCAAGAGCCCTCCTTCTGTTGCTGGCAGCCACCCTGTCCCCAACTCTGGCCCTCTCGGGTGAGTACCAGGTGGAGAGAGAAACTATTTCTGAAGGAAGAAACGGGGTCACTGGGTTGGGACCGCACCCGGAAAGCCATGTCTCTGCCCTTGCCCAACGAGCCCTCCCTTCTCCCGGAGATGGGCAGTCAGTTCCAAGCTCCCTTCTCTCCGCGTTTGGACCCGCGCCCCCTGCACACCTCCCAAGGGGTGCACCTGTTCCTCGATCTGGCCGGATGCAGGGTCACCGCGCGCCACTCCTAGGCTCACACTCCCTGCGTTATTTCTCCACCGTCTTCTACAATCCTGGCCACGGCGAACCTCGGGTCAGGGTCGTCGGCTGTGTGGACAACACACAGATCTCCAGCTTTGACAGCGACAATGAGAGTCAGCGAGTGGAACCGCGGGTGCCATTTATGGCGCAGGATCCTGAGCATTTGAATGAATTGACGCGTCTCGGCAGGCGCATCTTAATAATTGGCCGAATCGAACTGAGGACCCTGTTCAACTACCGTAGCAAGAGAGAGAATGGTGAGCGACTCTAGATTCATAATGCTAGTGTACAGTCTCCAAACATTCTGAGGGACATAGGAACATACCTTGGATTAGTGAAATCCGCCAAGTTTCAGCCATCCTGGGGAAGCTTGAGGAAATTTATTGGGGTTTTATTTCACTGTGAAATAGGCTTTAAGCCATCATGCACAGGCTATGTGTATTGAATAGAGCTAATCTAGGAGACTGTGCTGATCTCCCTGGCTGCAACAGGGTCTCACACTATCCAGGATATTTGCGGCTGCGACATAGGGCCAGACCACCGCCTACTTCGTGGGTATAAACAGATCGCTTATGATACCCAAGATTACATCTCTCTGACTGAGGACCTGCGCTCCTGGATCGCAGTGGATACCAAGGAGGCTAAGAGCACCAGGCGCAAGTGGGAGGCAGCAGGGTTTGCAAGACCATGGAAATCTTTCTTTGAAGGAAGGTGTGTGACATGGCTTCTCAAATACCTGGATAAAGGGAAGGAGATTCTGCAGCGTGCAGGTAAGAGGGTTAGGGTAGTTTCTGTCCGCCTTTGAGCAGAATTTCTGGAAAGAAAGAAAACAAATTCCTAAGCCACCTATTGGAAGGGAAGGTTCTTCTCTGTTAAGCTGGTCCCCCTGGACCGGTTTCTCTCTGCCTGCCTGTTTTCAGAGGCTTAATATCAGTTACAATTGTCTGGCCTATGGCTTAGGCAATTACTGGCTAGTTCTCTCAATAAATTAACCCATTTCTATTAGTTTCTGTTTCATCCTGAGGCTTCTTGGGTGGCTACTTGGAGTCTTCTGACTCTGCCTTCTCTCTGTGTATCTTTGTTTGGACTTCCAGCCTAGTTTTACTATGCTAAGTCATTGACCGAAACTGCTTTCTTTATTCATTAGTCAATAAAAGCAACACATGTACAGAAGGACATCCCACGTAAGGTAATTCCCTTTTGATCTCAGTCCCTGTTTCTGCCATTGCTCACAGATCAGCTGTAGCTACTCAGTCACTGGGTTTTTGCCCACTCAGAGGTATACAAGTTCACACCTTTATCGTAGAACTTACTGTAGGAATAGATAGGTCCTCATTCTGGGCCCATGAAGTTTAGGTGCTGCTCTCTAGATCCCCAGCCCAACTCTGGGGATGATCACATGGTCAGTGCTCAAGTTGTCCTCAGGAAGGAACAGAAATTTGTTCTTCTCTGATTCTTCCCAGATCCTCCAAAAACAAATGTGACTCATCACCCCAGACCTGAAGGAGGCGCCACCCTGAGGTGCTGGGCCCTGGGCTTCTACCCTGCAGACATCACCCTGACCTGGCAGAGGGATGAGGAGGACCTGACCCAG